GAAGATTGTGTATGTCACTTTTGTATTTTTTTTCAATAGTACATAGCATTGAGCAATGCAGAAAATTAATGGTTGGGATTGAAGATATAAGATCTCTGGAAATCAAATATTATGCTAAACCACTTGTTTCACTTAGTGCTGCGTAGTTTTGAAACCGGGCCTATCACATTTATAAATTATTATTTCAAGTCATGATACATGTTTGTATAATCATTTCACAAATACTAAGTTTCTACTAGAAGAAACTATCCCTCGTTACTTAAAAATTTTAGTTTGACACATGTGTTGCAATTCTTTTTATGTTTTTAAGAAAATATTTATGCATTTGATTAGGTTGTTTATTAGAAGTAATAATGAGAATTCGAGTAGTGTTGAGATCACATATAATACTGAGACAATTTGGTCTAATGCTTTGAACTGGGGTTAAGTGTTAAAATTAATAATTAAAAACAACAGTCTTTGAAGTCAAATAAAGGATCATGTGAGAATATACACACTGCCCTAACCATCTTTAAAGCCTAAAGTTTTGGTAACTTTGTGCAGCGGGTTTCTGATTGAGGATCTCCTTTAATTTCTTCCAAAAAGCACGCATATATAGTGAGGAACTATGAATCATAATGTTCTTATAGGAATACGGGAAAGCTAATTTTATCAGAAACTGTAGAATCAAATCCCCAGATTACATGTAACTACTAAGAGGATGTGCCGGAGGGGATGATAATTTTCATGCCACTACTGGTACCTACTGCACTTAAAATGTGGGTCTCGTTGTAAAGGGGCACACTCATTGGGCTTGGCTGGACCCCTTAGACACATCAAATAAAAGAAGGCAATGGGACCATTTCTGATTCACCGCATCACAATCATACAAATAATGAACTGAAGTAAAAGCAAACTAGTTAATTTGACCTTCATCACATGCTCAACCAGCTAATTTTACCCGAAATGAAAGAAACTTGTAGACGTGAGTGTAGTCGTATTGGTTAAAGGATTGTGCTATCTCTTAGAGCATCTCTAATGGACCCTAAACAAGGACAACTACTGTATAAAATGAGTATAAAACTAATATAACGACAAAATGACTCTCCAATGAGTCGAAAAGTGAGTCCTTATAAATGAATCGGAAAGTGAGTCCGTATAAATATAGGAACTCACCGGATACTTGGTGCATGCACCCATATATAGGAACTAATAGTGGACCTTTGGACAATTTAAGTGGCAAAGCTAGCCCACCCAAATGAGAGTTGCTGTGCAGCATGAACTCCAAAAGGATTTTTGCATAAAGAAAGGGAAATTTTGGATCTTAGGGTAGATATCATTTTTACTCAAAAACGTTTTAGGTTAAAATATATCATCTATGGTTTAGAAAATATTTAAATGTCTACAGTAGAAAATGAAATGACTATTAATCTAAGCTGAAACATAAAATTATTTATTTACTAGAATCAAATTATTTAAACTAAGTATTAAATTAATGTTTTCTTCATTAGGTATTGAATCAATGTATCTTTTAATTAATAGTAAGCTAATGCCATCTTTTCGTGTCCCTAATTATTCCTTATATTTTCACCATTGACCTAGTTTAATTATTAAAAAAATAAAAATAAAATAAAATAAAAAGAACGAGGTTAGCACATTACAATATATGAACCTTAGTTTTTTTTTTTTTTTTTTTTTTTTTTTGGTTCTCTCTTTTTTCATTATGTGCCCAACTACGTACCTAATCAATTTGCAAGGGCATAACCTAATAATGAAGCAATTCTAATTATGTTTTTGTGAAGAAAAATTTGGTATTAGAATTTGAATGTTTTTTTAGTTAAAATGTTCACAAAAATATTTTACAAGAACGTAATGTTAAATTAATTCAAAAAAAAGTTTAACATAAACATAAAATGTGCACCTAATCAAATTATCACATAAAATCATAAAAACCTTAAATTTAGGGATTCTACTATAAGGATTTTCCCATTGGAGACAATATTCCTTTAAAGACAAAGATTCTCTTTAAGTTTTTAAATGAGTACTCAAAGGTGGTGGTGAGAGTCCCTAAATAGGGACTCCCATTGAAGATGCTCTTATGCCTTTGATTTTGAAATATTTTTTCTCAAATTAGATTAGAGTGAAATATCGCTTGTACAAAAGAAACCCTATTGCGTAATGCCAAAAATACTCCAATACAAAAACAAATCAAATCAAATCTCTAATTAACTTCCTGAATATACCTAATAAATTCCAAACATTACTGTATTCAAATTGTTGTAAGAATCATTCTTGAGATTTCTGGACCTGCATGTCAATGGACAAAAGCAGACAACAATATGGAGCAGGGAATGAGTCCCATGCTAGTGTTATTCGCTCTAAAACTCCAAAAGAGAAAAGAGATCATAAGGAAAACACAGCCTAAAGAAAATGACCCAACTCTATAATTGTACTTGTCCTTTGCTTTATATATACCACTTGAGATTTGATTACCATAGCTAAGACCGAAATGGTAAGAAGTGAAACAAAAACAAAATATGTGTGTGTAAATTCTACTCATAGTTCATAATTGTATTGATAAGAAGGAAAGTGACTAAGAAAAGTGAGTGCGATCATTTAGAGAATATGACACAAGAACCATATATAAATAGAAAATTGTTTTGTGGCTTTCAAAAATTTTGATTTTTTCGATTTCATGATGATTTTTTTGAAATGCAAAAACATTTATATCTATATATTGGTTTTTTATTTGTTTCTCTCAATGGTATGAGAGGTTGTCACCGATACATATTTAAGGTGGTAAAAAAAAAAAAAAAATCAATTGGCTAAATCGTACGACTATATCACACTCATTACATAGGTTGTCTAACTGAAAAAAGTCTTATTGCCCTTTATCCTTAGTTCTTTGACTAGTAGGCTGAGATGAAAAACTCAAAAAAAAAAAAAAAAAAAAAAAAAAAAAAAAGAGGGAAGCTCAAAAGGACACGAGCACGCACGCTCACATGCAATGCAAAGCAAAAAAGAAGATGAAAACAACGAAATGCCCTTTCACTTCTGGTGTTCTTCCGTGCTCTTCTATTTACGTGGTCACAGTTAAACTACGTCAACATTTTATATTACTATTTATTTTTGTCTTATTATCTCTATAAAAAAACAATATAAAATGTTGACGTGACTTAACCGTGATCATAAAAAACAAGAGGGTACGTAAAAACATCGAAAATAAGAGGGCAGACAATTCTTGTCTGAAAACAACACCAGTTAGAAAACAAAACCCCAGAAGCAGAAAAAAATTATTAAAATTATTAGAAAATAATTCAAACACCATTAACTTTCTCACATATAGGAAAGAAAAATTAAATTCCACAGTGCACTGACACAGGTACATTTTGTCTTTTGGACCATTGAGGAAATGATGGTGGGTGATGAGGTGATGGTAGCCTTTCAAAAGTTGGTGCTTTGATGGATTTATGATTGGTCCCTCCAAGCCAGCTAAAACCCTACAGCTCTCACACATGACATATTCGGATATTCCACCAATCTGCTATCCACTTCGCACAAGAAAAAACCCTAATCATCTTTTTTCTCGATCCATAATTTATACTAATGAATTGCCTCCCAGTGGCACCCACATGAAAGAAACCCACTTCTGTCAGCTCCAAAAACTTACAGAATTTGAAGATTGTTTTGCAGCAACTAGAGAGAAGGGAGCTGTATATACTTCCATGCAGCACTGTTTCAATCATTGTATGTTCATCTATGAAATGGGATTTTGAGATAATGACTAAAAGATATATATATATATATATATATTTTTTTTTTTACAAGGAATATTGAAGGATGAGGATTTGAACACAGGACTTTAGGAACGTGTGTAAATGTTCTTAACAACTTAAGCTACACTCACTTTGAAATGAAGTTATACTTATATGGAACATTGTTTCAACCATTGTCTGCTATGTATGAAATGGGATGTTGAGAAAATAACTATAAGGATTTCCTCTTTTTATACAAGCCATACTGAGGAGGGAGGAATTGAAATAGTGCATGATTTACTACAAACACATTGCAAATAGTTATTCATAATACAGTATAATAAGATCTTCATCTTCCTTACTTTTGATGGCTTAAAACTAAAATCTCATTTGTTTTAATTTTGAACCCCTGTCGTTCATAAAACTTGAACTAAATCTTTTTTGCCCCGAACGAAATGATCTTTGTCTTTAAAATTAAATGTTGTGAGTACTAGGGTAGGGGCAACTAGGTTGGGAAAAAACACATGTTGCATGTAACAAAAGGCAACTCATTTGACCAACCAACTAGACAAATTGAGGAGGCAAATACAAATCCCCTCCTATGAAAAGTAAATTTGATAATACAAGGATGATTTAGATTGCGCCCCCCACCCCCACCCGCCCCACACTACTTTTAGCCTACCTTCACACCCTCCTCCTATCATCTGATAATTTGATAGAGATAGAAGTAGCAGGGTAAAAATCAGTAAAACAGTCAACCCTAGGCTCAAATCTTCACCAGGGACTTTTCTCAGTTCCCTCAAATTTTGCCATTATTTCACTTTTGGTTACTTTTTCTCCGATCCACAATGTCCCAAACACTTGCAGCCAAAATAACTACTTGCATATGGAAAATAATTTCCGCAATCCTGTTTTCTTCTTATGGACTCTTATCTTTATTTTTATCTCTTGATTATGCTTTTGTTCAATCTAAAGACTAGAAAAGCAGAGCGAAGTGTTAGATGAGAAAAATAGAATGCAAAAATCATTTCCCTTTGCATATTTGGGAGGGAAAGGAAAAAAACACCGAAGGATGTGTGAGTTGAGTTCCACACTATGTTCTATTTTCAACTGTTGCAGCTTCAGTTGGAACCCATAAAATCTTGGTCGTGGTTCTTGGGCTATTGTGTGATATTTATCAAAAACAAAAGAAAAAATGGGGCCTTGCATATATTTCATTGGGGCTTGAAAGTTGCAATCTATGAACATATATAGGAGGCAATAACAGCAGCGCAAGTAGTGGCATTTGTATTTAACTTGGCCAAGAAGAAAAGTAAACATCTTGAATATCACCGCAATTTTTCACGGGATAGTATCAACAGAAATGGATGTTCATAAAAAGTAGGCAACAGATCTTATGAACACAGAAAGTTGAAAGCATTGCTCCAAAATTTTTCTAGGGAGATGCTATAGAAAACTACGAGTACCCAATTGAAGTGTAATACCTCTGCATGAGTTAATAGGTATCATCGGACTTGTCGATACATACATCGCTTCATTTACAATTATACAATACTCTTTGTATCAGAAGTAAATATCAGATTGCTTTGATTGTGCTTTGATATCTTTCAATTTCTTCAATATGTTGGTAAAGTAGTCCTGCAAATATTTCTCCAGTGTAACTATATCTTTTCCGTCAACCCCAAGAAGACCATATGTTTCGCTCATTGGAACAGAGAAAACAGTATCGCTTGAAAGAACCTACAAATGCCAAAACACAGGGCATTAGCCCTCTCAGTTAGAACAAACAGTGTGTATAAGAACTTGTAGAATTGTAAGTAATGAGCTGATGAGTAAATAAGAAGTCCTTTAATGTTAATTGTGTATATACTTAGTCTTCAAAATGACAAGTGTAAGGCTCAAATGTGTAAGGCTAAATTAGCCATGTGTAGTGATCCTAAAAGTTAGCTAGATGTGTGGCTGAGATCAAATGTGTTGTTTTTGGATCCAGCTTAAGGCAAAACGGTTGTAAAAGAGTGCTTGTGTGCGTGCGCATTTGAAATATAAGAAATACTTTTTCTCTCTGCAACTTTAGCAAAGAAGAAGAACTTTCGCATTCCTCAATCCTTTTTCTTATTGTTATCCTGCATAACTTAGCAAAATACTTGACACTAACATGGATCAGAGCTAGGTTGGATCAACTAAGTATGGGTGTGAATCTGTGAGGTCACTGAGCTAAATCGAAGCTCACTCGAAGCTCGATGAAGGTCGCCGGATTTTCATTATCATTCAGGCCAAAGATGTCTGGATCTAGAAGCTCGGAGGTGAGAACTCCCATTTTCACCGGTGAGAACTATGAGTTCTGGAGAATTAAGATGGTTACGGTTTTCAAATCTCTTGGGTTATGGAATCTGGTAGAAAAGGGGATTACAACTCCCGATTCGAAGAAGAAGAAGAAGGAAACTGAAGAGTCATCGGAAGATGCAGTCGATGAAGAAATGAATGTTGTGTTCATGAAGGATGCGAAGGCTCTAGGAATCATACAAAATGCAGTCTCTGACCAGATCTTCCCTTGGATTGCCAATGCCGATTCAGCTAAGATGGCATGGGATCTGTTGTATGGAGAATACCACGGTTGTGATCAGGTTAGATCGGTAAAACTTCAAAATCTTAGACGAGAATTTGAATATGCTAGGATGCGACATGATGAATCTCTATCTGGTTATCTTACAAGGCTGAATGAATTGATTAATCAGATGAAAACATTCGGTGAATCTCTTTCTAATGAAAGACTTGTGCAAAAGGTTCTGATTAGTCTAAGTAAACCATATGATCCTATCTGTTTGGTTATAGAAAATACAAAATGTTTGGAGACTGTAGAATTGCAGGAGGTAATTGCAATCTTAAAAAGCCAAGAACGGTTTGATTTGCATACTGTTGATACTACTGGGAAGGCATTTACATCTCTCTAGTGAGTCCAAAGGGACAAAATAGAAGTGGAGCTTAATCTGGTCCATCTCAATTCCAGAAGAATTGGAATTCTAAGGGCAAGAAATGGGATTCAAAACCCAAGTTCCAGCAGAAATTTCATGCTAGTCCTGCACAAAATGCACAGTTAATGGATCAGGCAGTCACAAAACCACAGTGCAAGGTATGTTCTAAATTCCACTTTGGTGAGTGTAGGTATAAGGGAAAGCCTAAATGCTATAACTGTGAAAGGTTTGGACACTGGGCTTGAGAGTGCACTACAGGCAAATCAGTTCAAAAGGCAAATAGTGCTAATCAAATAGAGGTGACAGGAAACTTGTTCTATGCAAATAGCAGTATCTCTGAATCTGTTGTCAATGGCAAATGGTATGTTGTCAGTGGTTGCAGCAACCACATGACTGGAAATGAGAAATTGTTGGTTGATATAAGGACAAATGTAGTAGGCTACAGAGTGGTATTAAAGTAAAATGCCTGAGAAGTGACAGAGGGGGTGAATTCACATCTTGTGAGTTTAACAAGTTGTGTGAAGATGAAGGTATTCAAAGACAACTCTCAATGGCTTATACTCCCCAACAGAATGGAGTTGTAGAGAGAGAACATAACTGTAGTTAAAATGGCAAAAGCCATGCTTCATGATAAAGGATTACGTTACTATTTGTGGGCAGAATCTGTACACACAGCTGTCTACATACTGAATAGATGTCCTACAAAAGCTCTCGCAGATATAACTCCATTTGAAGCATTCAGTGGTCGAAAACCAAGGATTGCACATCTTAGAATCTTTGGTTGTTTGTGCTATGTACACATATCAAGTGAGTTGAGACAGAAACTAGATGCAAAGAGTTTCAAGGGCATATTTGTAGGTTATGCCACTTGTGAAAAGGGGTACAGAGTGTATGATCCTCTTACTAAGAAACTTATACTTTCGAGAGATGTTGTGTTTGATGAAAATGCAGCCTGGGAGTGGAAGAAGATCTCTGAGAATTATGTAACTATGATTAATCATGATGAGCTACCTGATATGCCTAAGGGTACATCACTTGAAACAACTCCTGAAGGTCAGAACTATGTCCAAACACCAAGCTTATTATCTTCTCATGAATCAGTAAGTGATGTGAGTAGCAGTATGAGAAAATCTCAAGTTTTTTATCATACTCCATTGAGGTGGAGGAACCTGGATGATGTTCTAGCTCAATGCAATCTCTGAATTGTGGAATCAAAGTGTGATGAGGCAGCTAAGGATGAATCATGGATGATAGCTATGAAAGATGAACTGCAGATGATTGAAAAGAATGCAACATGGAAGCTAGTGGACAGACCCACTGATAAACCTATAATTGGGGTTAAGTGGGTGTTCAAAACCAAGCTTAATCTTGATGGATCAGTGTAGAAAAATAAAGCAAGGCTAGTAGCCAAGGGATATGCTCAGAAACCAGGTGTTGACTATAATGAGACCTTTGCACCTGTGGCTAGATTTGATACAATTCAAACACTATAGGAAAATTGTGGGAAGCTTACAAGACCCGATGTGATGTATACAGCTAGTTTACTTGCAAGGTTCATGCATTGCCCTACCAACAAACATTATGGTATAGCCAAAAGGGTTCTCAAGTATATCAAAGGAACACTTGACTATGGCTTGGAGTATGTGAAGGGAAGAAATGCAATTCTAATCGGTTACTATGATAGTGACTGGCGTGGTTCAGTGGATGACAGTAAAAGCACCACAGGGTATGCTTTCTCTTTTGGTAGTGGAATTTTCTCTTGGGCTTCAATCAAACAGAATTGTGTAGCACTCTCTACTGCTGAAGCAGAGTATATTAGTGCATCAGAGGCAACTGCACAAGCTATTTGGCTTAGATTTGTGTTAGAGGACTTTGGTGAATTTCTAACTGAGGCTACTCCACTTCAGTGTGACAATACTGCTGTAATTGCTATCACAAAGAATCTTGTGTTTCACCAGAAAACTAAGCACATTGATCGAAGATATCACTTCATCAAGGATGCTTTACAAGAAGGGATCATTGATCTTGTCTACTGTCCTACAAATGAGCAACTAGCAGATATCTTCACAAAGTCATTGGCTAAGGATCGGTTCTGCTATCTCAGGGATAAACTTGGAGTGAAATCAGCTCAAAACTTAAAAGGGAGTGTAGAATTGTAAGTAATGAGCTGATGAGCAAATAAGAAGTCCTTTAATGTTAATTGTGTATGCACTTAGTCTTCAAAATGACAAGTGTAAGGCTCAAATGTGTAAGGCTAAATTAGCCATGTGTAGTGATCCTAAAAGTTAGTTAGATGTGTGGCTGAGATCAAATGTGTTGTTTTCGGATCCAGCTTAAGGCAAAACGGTTGTAAAAGAGTGCGTGTGTGTGCACGTGCTCATTTGAAATATAAGAAATACTTTTTCTCTCTACAACTTTAGCAGAGAAGAAGAACTTTCGCATTCCTCAATCCTTTTTCTTATTGTTATCCTGCATAACTTAGCAAAATACTTGACACTAACAGAACTTTTCAGAATGCAAATGTTGTAAAACAACAATTACAATGCAAATTACAATTTTTCAAAAATATAATAACTTGTTTTACGTAAATGACTGTCAAAACCATATTAAGAACTTACCTCTGAAAATGCCAATCTATCAGCAACATCATTTGTCCACTCAAACAGCCTAGTTAGCTGACGGGTTACTCTTAGGACAGAAACTGGGACCGTAGTTATATTTGCCTCTTGGCCCGCAAACCTTTCACACAACGTTATTACCTAAAAGAAAAAGGCATGTTCACAAGAACGTGACAATGGGGGTGAGGCACAGTGAGAAGATTTAAGAACAATGAAGGGCTTCTGGTGGTAAACTATTCTCATTCACCTCTTGGGTTGTCCATGCGCGAGGGCCAGCAAATGTGAGAAGCTTCCCATTGACTTTCTCATTTCTTAAAGCTATAAAGGTCAGGCGAGCTACATCCTAATACACACACAAAAAAATAAGTGTTCAGATACCATGACGACATGAAAAAAAAAAAAAAAAAAGTAATCCTTAGATTAACCAGGTAAATGGTCAATGCATAGTTAACCTGGGTGTCCATGTATGCAATCCTTGTGGGGGCGTCTGTTCCCCATACCGATTTCTCTTCTAATATAGGCACTGCATACTGTCCAATAATCCCCTGAGAAAGTAAAAACGCAAAGATAAGCTTTTTTCACTAAGTAGTTAGTACTACATTAACAAGGCAAGGATAACTAGCATACATAAATATTGATTGTTGTATGAAATCACGTCTTTGGAAAGATTCCCTTCTGAGCTATAAACAATTCTCCAGGTATATGCATATAACCTTTTCAGGGTGTGTGCTTGGTTGCATGGCTGTTTTTGTCAAGTGAATGATATTTATACATGCTACTTTTATAACTCTATCCAGTTTAATTGGTCTTTCTGATAAAGAAATGATAGGGGTTGGACGAGTGCTATATGAGAACAAGAACATTAAGAAGATACGGAAATTAATTTGAAACATCAAGCTGTCAGGGAAAGCACAAATTTGGATACGCCAGTAACAAGATAATAAAAGAGGAAGTTTAAGTGAAACTTACTTGCATGAATCCACATAAACGAATTATGACGTGATTTATGCCTGAATCTTGGAGAAACTTTTCAGTGCAATACTTGATCTCCATAAGTGGAACTTCGGGATGCTGGTCACAGTTGTGGATGGAATAGAATACAAATTTTTGGATCCCCATTGCTTTTGCACATTGTATAAGAGCAACTTTTCCTTCCCAATCTACCTAAATAGAACAAATGGGTAGATAAGACCAAAAGAGAGGGACACGGAAGTAAGTCTGGTATGTTTACTGCAACATATAAAATAACTTCAGGATCTCTGAAGACCTGAAGATGGATACACGAATCTCTTAACAACTCTCTAAATTCAGCCGGAGCATTTATTTAAAGGATGAACACAGACCTTTTCTAATTTCTTTGAGTTTCTTTGTTGAACAAGGAATAACATAAATACACAAAAAGCTTCCTTTTTGACAAATGACAATGCCACAATACTGTAATGCAAGTAGGAAAGGAAAAGTAGACAATGATATTCTTTGATCTACATATGCATATGCAATGAATGAACCGAATCAGTGGTAGCTTCAAAAGATGATCCACACATGGGAATTAATTTCTAGGCTGATTACAAAAACTATTAATGTACAGAAACTCACCTTTTTTATGGGCTCTTCGGGACGACCCGTCGCACAATCGATGATTGTGTGAATCCCTACCAATGTAGCAGGTATGGTCTCTGGTTTGCTAAGGTCTGCCTGCTCACCACAACACATTCATTCATCAAACCACTTGAAATTTCAAAAAAAAAAAAAAAAAGAAAAAAAAGCAAACAAAATGTCTCCAACTTCTAAATACTTACTATATAAATAACAAGAACCCAAGTAGGATTAAGCCAATTTACATATAAGAAATACTGAATCATAGTGAAAATTTCGAGATTTATATAAGATTATAAGAGTTGGTGAATTGGAATTACATTGACAACAGTAGCACCCCAATCTCTGAGGAAATCAGCAGGGGCTGGTCTCGGCCTAACCAAGCACCTAACATCATAGCCTTCATCAAGTGCTCTCCTCACAATCTGCCTCCCCAGAGTCCCGGTGGCGCCGACCACCAGTATACTGGTGGGTCTGACGGGTGTCCCCGGAGCAAGATTCACAGCCCCAGCTCCCGCCCTGGCCCTACATTTCATGAAACGCCGCGTATTGGTCCCTGCACACATAAATCAACAATTAAAAATGGGTTCTTTTCAAATTTGAAAATAAATAATGGGTACTTTTCAAATTTGTGAAATAAAGTGGAAAAAGTAAAGCTTTCCAGTTGAAGCGAGAAGGAGACGAACCAGTGGCGGTGGAGGTGGAAGAAGATGACGAAGGAAGGAGATGGTCCGGAGCTAAAGTCCGGCACCATGAGAGTGAGGCTGGGAACGACAGCGTTTTGGAGTCATAATGATGGAGGTTTCCGGGTGTTGGCAGCTGGGTAGGAAGCCTCCAAGCCATTGCCATTTTCAAGCTCTCCCTTTGTCTGTCACTGACTGGACAGACGCTTTCCATTTTACAGATAGGGAGAGATGGAACGATGGAGCTCAGTGTTGCCACGTCGTTCGCCAAAGTGGATTAGGATTTTCTGCCACTTGTCATTTTGGGCCGACTTCTAAATGAAGCCCAACTAGTCGAGACAACGCGTGTCTATGTGAGAGTTGAGTTTATTTGATCAAATTCAAATGCTATGCATTGTTAATTTTGCTACTTCTCTTTTTGGAGAAATTTTGTAGAGAGTTTTAACGAAAAGTCTGTAGTACTGTTTACTTTAACGAAAATTATATTTTTACACTAAAAAATCAAATATGATATTATTCATTTTATCCTTTATTTTGTCCTTATCATTAAAATTCAAGATTTTTAAGTCATTTTAATTAGTTTTTCTAATTTTTTATTGTGCCGTAACCCAAATAGTATATATTATTATATAAATTACAAATTTGAATCAAATTATTATTAGCACATTGTGAGGATAAGCATGTTCCTTCTTATTTACTGTATATAATATCATTTGTTAAGAAAAAAAATAGTGGCAATATGATCATTGAATTTAGAGAAATAGCAAAAAATCATCCATTTTCTTAATCTTTGGACTCAAATAGGACAAACCAGCTATGCATAGTATGCACAAAAGATAAATGACGAAAATACCCGCATATAAATTGTAAAAACTCACGTCATTTTTTTGAAAAAAAAGTTGTGAGCTTTAGGTTTTTTCCTTTAATTCAGAGACAACCCCTTCAAATATAAAGAAAGCGAACGAGTTCACGAAACAATTTCCTTTGATTTAATTGGATTCCTTCATGTCCATTCAAACTACAATTTCCAAATCTTTGAAATATTTGAACCCCAATTATATTTGGTACCAAATTCAAATTAATGAACTGCACCACAACCGGGAACTTTCGGAACCATAACGTTGTTGAAATTCATATTCACTCTCGCTGTGAAAACATAAAGAATTGAAAAAATACCAAAAAAAAAAAGAACAAAAATGTAGATTTGGGAACGAAAAATGTCAAGCAGCAAAATAGTCCATTAAAAAAAAAGTTAAAAATAGTCAAGCAGCAAAAATGTCGATCTTTGCATATCCCGAAAAAATTAAAAAGTGGGCCCTTTTTTATTATTTCCTTTGAATTTAATTATTGCATATTCACTATGTTGAATATTGGCTGGCTGACTTTAAAGATACATCAATGTGAGACGTACATTATCAAATTTAACAGTCGAATATAGATGTGCATCTAAGAATGGACGTATTTTTGCTCATCATCATAAATTATAGTTTGTGTTTACTATATACCTAATCAATTAACATTTGTCATTTTATTTAATCTTGTTAATTTTTTTTAAAATTGAAAAAGTAACATTTAGTATGAAAGTTAACTAGAATTATACAAAAGAACACATGTCAATGATTAGATGTATACGTTATAATTATGATAGTGAGCAAAAGTGCTCCCCTAAGAATTGGAGAGAATTCAACGTTTTCAAAAAACAATGTTTTACATTGTTGTTTAGAGTGGGACTCGGCTGACTGTCCTACACTAGCACTCGCACTAGGAAGCTACCTCGCATCAGAGGAGCTGGATTCATTCTTTATTTATTTCACCTCTCTTTCTTTTGAGTCCTCCATTATGGATGTATATATTACAAGGAAACTAACAAAAATCCAAAAAAATAAACAAAAAAATAAAAAATTAGTTTTAATGAAAAAGAAAAAATAAAAGTGTGTGAATAGTACTAGAAAAATGTAAAAATATAGTTTTTCGTTAAAAGTAAATAGTACCAAAGTGTTTCATTAAAACTCTCATTATTATAACCTTTTCTTCCGTTTGAACAAAGATAATTTTTGCGACGAAAGTGCTTGAGCAATTTTTTATATTTTATGTCTATTTTTATCTAATCTCTGATGATTTTTCTTGGATAGTCATCCTTCGTCTATGCTTATCTCTATATATAAAGCCAAGCCTGAAGTGAATAGTATTTTGGGGGTCACAAGCTTCACCAAAAATAAGTGGACAAAAATACCCAAAAAAAAAAAAAAAGTTCAAAAGCAATTCAAAATAATGTATTAAATGTGGTAGGGGTATTTTCGTCATTTTAACAATATTTTTTTAATAATTAATTTTTTTGTGCAAATTTTTTTTTCTTCAAATAATTAGTACCTCACAATAGGCTAGTAATAATATAATTCAATAAGTTGTTCATTAAATAATATTTTCTCTATTTTTAAACACGTTCAAAACATCTTAAGAGGCTGTAATGCTGATTATAAAAAATATCTTTCACACGCAGATAATAATGTGATTAAATTAGTTGTCAAATGATTTTTTTTTTTGAATAAACGATATTATCTACACTAAGGAGGAGGGGGTGGGCTTAGCCTCACAATAGGCTAACAATAATGTGATTCAATCAGTTGTTTATTTGTTTTTTGAACAAACAATATTATCTACACTAAGCGAGAGGGGGATGGGCTTAGCCTCACAATGAGCTAGTAATAATGTGATTCAATCAATTGTTTATTAAATATTATTTTCTCTATTCTTAATATAAATTCAATAGAGACTGATTTTATTATGTGGATTCAATTACTTTAATTGATTTAAGAGGAATTTCTTCTAGCATGATCTAAGATTATTCATTTATTTCAAATATTTAACTTTTCTTTTCTCAATTACGCATATAAATACATTTAAAACGTGTAAGTCACGCGTAGCATGCTGTGATTAAAAAAACAAATACATTCTGCACAAGCGTAAGCGCGTGCATGAAGGTTAGTATTTTATGAAAAGATGCTTTGGTCAAATTTACTATGGACAGTTTTTTTCTATTAATTAAGTATATATTTAGAAGAAAAGATTAAAGTAGCATTATCAATTATGAAATTGATTTTTTTAAGCAAGTGAAAGTGACTACTCCTTGTCCCTCCTAATTTTTTAATTTTCTACTCGCTGAAGCGGTTCTGACTTCTAAATACGCATACCAACTACTATGATTCCAATTCTTCTATGGTAAACTCTGATCTAGTCTCAGGTGCACCTATAGTTTAGATAGAGAGATAGAATTGATTGAGTTCATTCAAGTTTTCAACATCATCGTCATCGCCATCAGGACTCTCTTTTACATGTGCTGCAGATCTTTAACATTTTCTTCTTCGTATTCTTCTTCTGGTGGTGCTGCTGCTGTTGCTGCTCCTGCTGTTGATGATGATAACGCTCCTGATGATGCCCCAACTCTTCAAGAAAAGTATGATGTGTTTATTAGTTTCAGATGTGAAGACACCCGCCCTACTTTTACCAGCCATCTTCATGCTGCCTTACCGCGCAAGAAATTGACATTTACATAGATTACAGACTCTAGAGAGGAGAAAAATGGGAACTGCCCTGGCAAAAGCAGACCTGTAAACTGGTAGGATTTACTGGGTTTGGATCGGGTTCAATCCGATCCGTTAATTTAACGGGTCATCCGAATCCGATCTGTTAAGTTAATGGGTAATCCAAACCCAACCCGTTAAGCTAACGGATCATCCTTTCACCCATTCGAACTCATCCTCCGCCATTAACGCCCTCTCTGCATCCGCTCCTTCCTTACTCGCTGCTGCTCGACTCACTGCCTCTCCAAACTCGCCTGGTCTATCGAATCCGAAATTCAAGCTTGGATCGACCGCGAGTGCTTGGATAGCTTGACACGAGCTCTGGAAGAGAACCCAATTTGCAACGAGGACGAGTTGATCAAGCTACTGACTCAGTTCGAGGACCGAGTTGCGCAGAGGTTCAACCATGAGTTGCAAGATTTGATCTTGAAGTCCAAAGCTGTCACCTCGCTCGAGTCAGTTCTGTGCGAGTCGACTAGGTCATCGAAGCGAGTCAGAGAACATTATGCTTTCGCCATTGCAGCTCTGATCAAGTTCAATAAAGATGTTTTCGTGGGTCAAGTTTTGATGGGTCGGCCCACGATCAGCTCTCTGATAAAAATCGCGTCTACGAACGCGATCAGGGTACTCTGCGCGCTCGTCAGGCTGATCAAATCGCCGCTCGTCGACGAGATCGAGTTCAACGGAGAAATACCCAAGTTCATAAGCTTCCTGAATTCCAAAGATTTGGAAATGCGAGTGATGGCTATGGTCTGCGTGTTCGAAATCAGGGATTTCGCGCGGAAGGAGGCTATGGAGGTTTGACGCGATGCTACAGGAGGGGTTGATTGAGAAGCTTGTGGAGCTGCAGAGGTCGGAGCATGGCGGTGATTTGATGAGGGAGAGCACGGCGGTGATTTGAAATTACACAAAAGTCCTGAATAAACGGGTGAAACGGGTGGTTAACGGGTTTTGCGGGTTTACCCAAAATCATCTGTTATTTAACGGGTTGATCCGTTAACCATCCGATCCATTCATCACTCATCCGAAAACTAATTTTAATGGATCGGGTTAACAGATCAAGTTGAAAATGTCAGGTCTAGGTAAAAGGAATCATGAAGTCAAGGCTTTCGATGATCATTTTCTCCAAAAACTATGCGTCTTCCTCATGGTGTTTGATTGAACTTAAGCATATACTCAAATGCAAGAGAAAAAAGGGCCAGATAGTTTTACCCATTTTTTACAACACCAATCCATCAGATGTACAAAAACAAGAGTTATGCAGACTCGTTTTTGCAGCTTGAAAACATTTCAAGGGCTGTTTGGATAAGGTGAAAAAATGGAGGGATGCTTTGTTGGAAGCAACCAATTTATCTGGGTTTGATAATTCGAAATATAAAGGGTACGTAACTGACTCTGTAACTTGTATCAATTTATTCTTGTGACTATTTGATTCAAATTTACTTCATAAGCTAGTTGAAGGCATTACTTACCATATAATATATATTGCTTGTCACTCATTGTCCTATTCTACAGTACCCGATTTCATTGGGGAGGTTGTGGAAGATATTTCAGCCAAATTGAAACGTGAAACATCTTAAGATTTTAAGGGCCTGGTTGGAATTGAAAGCCACATCGAAGGAATTGAATCGCTACTACGTATTAAGGATTCATTAAGTTTTTTCTCTGCAGGGATTTGGGGTATGGGTGGCATTGGTAAGACCACCCTTGCCAAGGCTGTAGTTAAGAAAGCCTCTTCTAACTTCGAATCTTTTTGTTTTCTTAAAGATGTCAGGGAGAAATCAGAGCAAACAGGTGGAGTCGACTGATTGCAAGAGACACTTCTTAGAGAGATACTAAAGGAAGAACATTTCTCCTTAGAGTCAACTTCTGTTCGAGACCGGCTCAGCCGCACAAAGCCTCTCATTGTTTTTGATGATGTGAATGTGTAAACACGAAAAATTCCTGAAACAAGAAACAAGAATACGTGTACAAAATAATATTTTTTGTATTAATGATTTTGGCGTTACAATCTCTTTGTAATTTGGTCCTCTGATTCTATCTTCGTAGGGTGTAGGTTTGTGGATGAGTTGTTGATCCAAAGGGCCGTCGGGGCTTGATCTAAGGATGAACAGTTGATGAATGGATCTTCAAGGGGCGTTGGGCTTGATCTTGAAGAATGGGTGTATGAGTTTGTTGAGGTTGTTGATCCAAAGGGCCGTTGGGGCTTGATCTTAGAATGGACGGATGATGAATGATGAACACTTTCTTCAAGGGGCCGTCGATGCTTGATCTTGAGTTGGTGAGAGTTCTTCAAGGGCCGTTGGGGCTTGATCTTGAAGGAGGATTTGACGAATAACGAAGAGTGCTTTCTTGATCCTTCGGGATTTGCTTGAGAGCTTTAGAGTTTCAAGGTTTCAAGGTTTTGGTGTAATGTAAATTTCTCTTTCTTTCCTTTTTTTCTCAAAATGAATGCCTTGGCTTCTATTTATAGAATTCCAAAACTTGATTTTTGGATTTAAATAATCAGATGAAATAAATCATTTTTGCCAGGTATTGACACGTGTCCTATTTGATGACTTTTCCAATTTATTTCGATTTTTCGTTGAGTCACACGCTACATGTAAAATTTATGTGACACGTGAGCGTTGAAATTTTAATTATTGGTCAACATTCATTTCACCGAAATTTTAATGTCTACAAATGCCCCCACTTCAAGGCGCGTCGTAGACATGTGCTTGTCACGTGTAGAAGATGCGTTTTGAAGTCCCTTAATGTAGATGTCAACCCAAGGGCCGTCGAGGCTTGATCTTGAATTGGGCTGGAAATTTCTTCAAGGGCCATCGAGGCTTGATCTTGAGCTGGGCTGGAGGATTCTTTTGGTCTCCTCCGAAGGTCTGAACTTACTCCTTTTATCTGGAGTTGAATTTGATTCAAGGGTGGTGAACACTTGATTTTGAATCGGACTTGTGATTTCTTCAAGGGCCATCGAGGCTTGATCTTGAATTGGAAATAAGACCATGAGTGGTTTCAGGATTCAGACACATGGCAGGCAAGCACGAGGTGGAGGTGATGACCTGTTTCTTTGTTCAATCTTTCCAATTCGTATTGAAGAGTACAAATTAGAAAAATTGATTTTTTATTATCACTCGTCTTAGCTGTTCTCCAAGCAGATGTGGTCCCTTCTCTGGAAGTGTATCAACCGTTGAAGATGACTACTCGAGAGCAATGCTAGGTAAGCAACCAGGGAATAGGTTCCAGGTAGTCGGTTCCAGATTGGCAGACTGACTCCAAGTGCCGGCTGATTGCTCTTTTCACTTTGCCATGCGGGTAAGAACAAGGACAAAGAAAAGGACATGGAGGAAGCATGATATGAGATACATTTGCTTTTGAAGAAGCAGCGAATGAATCAGCATATATATTTGTTGTGCTTGTCTCCACATGCTTCGATGTATCATTTTCACTTGCCTTTCTTGCTCCCTTTGCAGAAGTGGTATTTCCTTATGCAGGTTTAGCATCTTCTCTTGTAGTATTTGTCCTCTGATACAGGAGTGGAATGCAAACCTTGCATTTGAATGGACCATCATTTCTTGGTGGCAGCGCAAGTTTGAGTGGAGGTTCCGACATATTGCTTTCTCTGTCCTTGTCTTGGCAGGTGAGAACAAGGGCAAAGGAAAAGACAGGGAAAAAGCATGATATGAGATACCTTTGCTTTCGCCTTTGATGATATGAGATACTTTTGCTTTTGAAGAAGTAGCGAATGAATCAGCACATATATTTGTTGTGCTTGTCTCCACATGCTTCGATCTATCGTTTCCTCCTACCTCATCTGTACTCCAGGCATCTGGTATCTTCTTTGGGGAATACATCAATGGTTGAATATGTGTTCTCAAGGGAAGAAGAAAACTGAGCATGTTTGAGAGGTTTGGTTGCAGCTACATTCTCGGGCGAGAAGAAAAGTCATGCGTTTTTGGGTGTATGCCTTGCCATGATTGTTGATGTATGTAGGAATTGTAATGGCAAGTAGTAGTGCGGATGCGGCAATGACCTCCACGCGTCTTCAACTTTGTCAGAGATCTTTTGACAAAGTTGCACGCATTATCTGAAAAGACGAGATTGCGGCTTTATCACCCACACTTGTCGGCAACCTCCACGCATCTTCAACTTTGTCAGAGATCTTTTGACAAAGTTCAACGCTTTATCTGAAAAGCCAAGAGACCTCCACGCGTCTTCAACTTTGTCAGAGATCTTTTGACAAAGTTGAACGCTTTATCTGGAAAGCCGAGATTGTGTCTGAAGAGTTGGCGAACTTTACGCAGGAAAATCCGGCTTTGAAGAGTGGTGTCTCTTCAATTCTGAATCGATGATTGTGTCGCCTCTCCTTTTATAGAGGTGATCGATCACCTCTAACATGCACATTTTGAAGATTGCCCATTCGTGAAAATAATCTCCGGCCCGTTGAGATTTTACTCCATCCAACCCTTCTTTTTGAACTTCTTGAAAAATGGCTAACCCATCTAACCCATCTAACATTTGCTTAGATTTGAGTCTTAGCAGTGATCCGGTCGCGCCGCGTCAGGGTAAGGTATGGTGCCCGTCTTTCTTATCTTCTAATGGCCCTCTTACAGGTGAAGACTCTGTGATGACTTATGCAACAATAGCTACGATAGTAGCTCGGAACCTCCTCACTCCTAAAGATAGTCAGCTGCTTTCAGGACAGTCCGATGAGTTGGCCGTTCAAGAATCCCTAGCTCTCAGTGTTCAGTGCGCGGGCTCTGTGTCCAACATGGGCCAACACCTACTTGCTCGATCCCGTCAGGTTGAATCATTGATGGCAGAGGTGGAAAATCTCAAACAAGAGATCAAACAGCTTAAGCATGAGAATAGAAGTTTGCACGTGCTTGCAAATAATTATTTGACAGGCATGAAGAGGAAGCTTGATGAGATGCAAGAATCTCAAGGTCGAATTCAAAGTGACCGTCAAAGGCTTGCGTCTTTCTTCCAGAGGCACATTTTTCCTGCGTCATCTAGCGTTCCACCAAGTATTGGGGCTTCGAATGATCTATCTTCGGTGCTTCCCGCTCCTGGAGTTTGGCCAAGTAGTGGGGCTTCACGTGAACAACCTTTGTGAAAGCTCCATCTTTTTTTTTTTTTTTTTTTTTTTTGTACGTACTTGTAATTTCTCGGAGATTAATGGACATGCTTTATTTTATTCAATGTATTGTGCTAAATACAGATAAAACATATACATCACCAAGATGTGTTTTTTTTTTTTTTTCACTTGATGCCGTCCATCATCATTATTTTTTTTTTTATATATATATTTTTCTTTATTCTTTACCTTCATCATTGCTTCCCAACATCATCATTGCTTTCCAACATCATCATTTCCTTTTACTTTATTTTATTATTATTATTTTTTTTTTTTGCATGGTGCTGTCCACCAAGATTCCATCATTTTTTTTTCTTTTATATGGTGATCTGCAAGGCTGAGTTTGTGGGTGAAAACCCAGGCCGAGTCCGCGAGAAGACGGAGGAGGAAGGGGTGTACGTGCTGCTGAAGCTGATCGGTAGAAGGAGATGGCTCGCAAAGGAGGACGAAGACGGACAGAGATCTTTGGGTGTGAGTTGACAAACTTTGGTTTTGTTGATCACATTCAAAGGCAGCAGCCATGGCGGAGGTGCAGAAGCAGCCAGATCTTGAGGCAGAGTGTAAGGCATCAAGTTTGAAGACCGGCTAGTCGTTTGATAGCGGTCAATGAAGCTCTTCGTTGATTTTGATCATGGTGGCCGGGGTGACGAGCTTGAGGTTTGTTGGCAGCTTGAGGAGACAGAGGAAAAAAACTACACCATTGCCTTTGAGCACAGGTAAGGAACACAGCCACTGAGCACAGGCACCGAGCACAACCACCGAGCATAACCAACAGACTTCAGCTCGTTAATTCCCTAGGCTTCCCCAAGACAACCTTGCTTCACGCCGTCGTCCTCGTCTTTCCCATTTAACAAAAATCATGGAAGGTCTATTTCTTGGATTCCAATTCTTCTTTTTGGATGGGACTGATGGAGTGGATTGATTGGATTGTTGATGGTTTAGTTCCATTGATCAGGACAGTACCACTGAAGTGAAGGTGCTTGCTCATCGGAGAAGAAGCTACAAGCCTCCTCACTGCTAAAGAAGTTGTGCTCCTCCACCTTCACGGAAGGTTGATGGCTCTTTTGGAACGGAAAGCAGTTCATTAACGATGATGACGGCAAGGACGACGAACAATAGTTGAATTTGAGTGAAGTGGAAGCCGGCAAGGGGAATCTTGGGGTGGAACCGGAAGCGGCGCCGAAGTAGTTATTTGACGACGAGGAGCCGCTGGAGGACGAAGTCGTGGAGGCGGCAGAGGCCGAGGAGGAAGAAGGGGATGAAACGCTTTTGGGTGTCCTGCCGGCGCTGGTTGTGTCCATTGAGACGTTTTCTGCAGCTCCTCTTCCCCTCGTCAAACTCCACCAGAGAATGGACTCTGCTGCACTGCTGGCAGAATCGTTTATGTTCTCCCTTGACGACGACAACAGGGGTCTTGGACCGGAGCTCGCAGACTCTGTGCCGCCGATGATATTCCCGACAACGGCTAAGGTCCGCCCTGCAACCGTCGACCAAGCATAGAACTTTCAGATGATCACTTTCATTGTTACCGCCATTAATCCTTCTCGACGATGAGAGCTTTATTGGATCCTCCTGCAATTTCTTGAAATCCAATCCTAGAGATTCAGCTGGTCGATTCTTCATCTGGGGTTGTGAGATGCTGGACCCCACCAGAGCATCGAGGTCGCTGTCCTTGAAGTCCCACTCAATTGCCGCTCTGATCAGACCCAAAATATCAAGGGAGGACCAGCTGAGGCACGGAGTTTTTGGCTTGTGGTGCAGCAACAGTAGGGGGCGGACGAGCTGGAAGGTCCAGATTCTGGTGAGGAACGAGTCATGGAGTTTTGTCGTCCTCCTTGACCTCCACTTTAGTCTCGAGGCTGTCTTCGTCTAGCGACATCATGATAGTCGACGGAGAGGGTTTGCAGAGTATGCGGGGGAAGATTCCGTCGAAAAGGCGGCGATGGCGTTCTCGAAAAGAGGAGTTGCAGAAGATGAGGTGCAGAAACGGAAGCCAAGAAGCGAGTGGAGATGTCGAAGCTGTGCCTGGGCCCGGATTTGGGCTTCAACGAGGGTCTGCACCGTCCGTTTTGTCTAGGGCCTTGAGGTCCATCTGCTAAGCTTGGGGCTGCTACTGTATATGTTATTTGGGCCGAGAAGGAATTTATATATATATATTTTTCTTTTTTTTTTCTTTTTTTTCTTTTGAAGAAACTGTTTTTTTTTTTTTTTTTTTACTCAGAATATTGTTGCATTTGTAATGAAATTGACTTTCGATAGTCAAACATTTAATAAAACCTAATTTAATTTTTTATTTTGATGTGACTGAACTCGAAGTTGAATGTTCGAGCTGCTTACGTACCCTTCCAGAGAAAAGATTAAGTCATAACGTAGTTCAAATACATATATTTTTTGTTGGTGCCGTACACAGTTTATGCTCTTGCGGGCTAGGAGCATTTTGTTGTCACCTTTTATGCTCGTGTGGACAATAAGCTTTTGGTGCCATTTGCAGTTTCAGCTCAAGCAAGCAAGGAGCGTCATGGTGCCGTTTGCATTTTCAGCTCATGCAGGCAAGGAGCGTTTGTTGTCGCCTTTTATGCTCGTGCGGACAAGGAGCTTTGGTTGTCGCCTTTTAGGCTCGTGCGAACGAGGAGCTTTGGTTGTCGCCTTTTAGGCTCGTGCGAACGAGGAGCTTTTTGAATTTGTCAAACGATCTTAGAGAAGCATTCCTTGCAATCTTTATAGCAAGGAGTCTTGACTGAGTGATTGAATAAGTCTTTGGGGAAGAAATCGCGCATCGTGATGGCAACGGACGATCTTTGTGTCATAACTTCATCGTCCTCAACACTTTCATGTAGCTTTGAAGGTTGACGGTAGCTGCTTTGCCCCCTTTCCGATTGGTGAACTTGTGGAGGAGACCTATGTTTCTTGTGCATTTTCTTTGGAGTGACATAAGTCCATCCTTCAACTTCACTTGACTTGACTGACATGGTTTTGGAGCATGCCCCCAGCGGTTGAGGTGAAGATTTTGAGTTCAAAGAGCCAGAAGTGACGGTGGTATAGTTTGACTTCACCACATCATTAAGATCTAGCTCGATGATCCCTTTCTGAGCCAACTTCATGATGAGATCTTTTAGCACAAAGCACTTTTCCGTCGGATGACTAATGAAGCGGTGGAATTTACAGTACCTTGGACTGTCAGTACGGTTCATATCTTCTGGCCGTTTGCACTCAGGAAGGTCGATCACCTTTTTGTCAAGCAAGTCTTTCAACATGGCAACCACGTCAGAGTCGGGGAATGGATAAGTCTTCTCCTCAAGCTCCTTCAAAGTGCGTCTACGTATCTCTTGATCACGAAAAGCTTCGGTTTGAATCGCCTTGCTTCGTGTATGGATTTTGACTGGAGTTGTGTTGACCGTCATTGCTTCCTTGGTGGGTTTCCACGTAGCCTTATCCACCTTTGGCCCCAAAACTTTGTCATTCTTGTAGTCGGCGATCTGTTTTTTCTTCCCATGACGGGTGATGCTTAACTCCATATCATGGGCGCGGGTGGCTAACTCCTCAAATGTTCGTGGTTTGATGCCTTGAAGGATGAAGTGTAGTCCCCACTGCATACCTTGAACGCACATCTCAATGGCAGAGGTTTCAGAAAGCCGATCTTTGCAATCCATACTTAAAGAACGCCATCTATTTATGTAGTCGACGACAGGTTCATCTTTCCACTGTTTCGTACTGGTCAGCTCTAGCATGCTTACAGTACGACGAGTGCTGTAGAAACGGTTGAGGAATTCCCTTTCTAGCTGGTCCCAACTGTTGATAGACTCAGGTTCGAGGTCAGTGTACCAGTCAAAAGCGTTACTTTTCAGCGAACGCACGAACTGTTTGACGAGGTAGTCTCCCTCTGTCTCAGCATTGTTGCAAGTTTCAATGAAATGGGCGACATGTTGCTTCGGGTTGCCTTTTCCATCGAACTGCATGAATTTTGGGGGCTGAAAACCTTTGGCATCTTCAAAGCATCAATCTTCTTGGAGTAAGGCTTTGAGTACAGTATGGAGTCATGCGAGCTTCCTTCGTACTGTGTCTTGATAGTGCTTGCGATCATCTCCTGTAGCTGCTGGATAGAGAGAGATCCCATGAATGCCGTTGCTTGGTCTAGCTTCGGCTTCTCTTCAACTTTCTCCGCTGGTGGCTCCTCTTCTTCGTCGACTTCTTTCTCTAATAGGCCAACATTTGGGTCGACTTTCATGTCGGGCAGTGCATCTAGTTGGTTGACAAGTGCGGCAATCTGCAAGTCCTTCTCTTCCACAGTCTGTGTGAGCTTTGCGATTGCTTCATTCATCTGAGCTAGCTGCTCCTCGATTGAAGTTGCTCCAGTGGTCATGACTTGCATGGTTGTACTGCCGCTCGAATCAGCGTCGGAGAGTAGGGACTCTGAGTATTTCCTCGGGCTTTCCCCCTTTGATGCCCTTAGCGAGGCTAGGGTGATCACAGGCTCGTACCTCAGGTGCTCTTGTTCCTTTGACAGAGTTAATGCAGGGGCGGAAGCCGCGGCAAAAAGATCTCTTGCCTTACTTCGGGTTATGATGCCCGAAATATCACCACTTGCGGCGATGATGTTCTTGTTCTTTGCTTTGATTGCAGGAACAACTTGATCCTTTCTTGATGCCATTTGCGTTTTTCGATGATTTGAGGATAGAGATGAGAGGTAGAGATAGTCCCACTGGGCGTGCCAAATTTGTAAACACGAAAAATTCCTGAAACAAGAAACAAGAATACGTGTACAAAATAATATTTTTTGTATTAATGATTTTGGCGTTACAATCTCTTTGTAATTTGGTCCTCTGATTCTATCTTCGTAGGGTGTAGGTTTGTGGATGAGTTGTTGATCCAAAGGGCCGTCGGGGCTTGATCTAAGGATGAACAGTTGATGAATGGATCTTCAAGGGGCGTTGGGCTTGATCTTGAAGAATGGGTGTATGAGTTTGTTGAGGTTGTTGATCCAAAGGGCCGTTGGGGCTTGATCTTAGGATGAACGGATGATGAATGATGAACACTTTCTTCAAGGGGCCGTCAGGGCTTGATCTTGAGTTGGTGGGAGTTCTTCAAGGGCCGTTGGGGCTTGATCTTGAAGGAGGATTTGACGAAGAACGAAGAGTGCTTTCTTGATCCTTCGGGATTTGCTTGAGAGCTTTAGAGTTTCAAGGCTTCAAGGTTTTGGTGTAATGTAAATTTCTCTTTCTTTCCTTTTTTTCTCAAAATGAATGCCTTGGCTTCTATTTATAGAATTCCAAAACTTGATTTTTGGATTTAAATAATCAGATGAAATAAATCATTTTTGCTAGGTATTGACACGTGTCCTATTTAATGACTTTTCCAATTTATTTCGATTTTTCGTTGAGTCACACACTACATGTAAAATTTATGTGACACGTGAGCGTTGAAATTTTAATTATTGGTCAACATTCATTTCACCGAAATTTTGATGTCTACAGAATGATCCAAGGAAAATAAAAGATCTGGCTGGAGATCATATTCAGTATGGTCCAGGAAGTAGAATCATAATAACAAGAAGACGTCAGAGCGTGTTTATGAAAACTGTTAAAGACAATGAAAGTATATATCAGGTTGGGGTATTAGAAACTGATGACGCTCTTCGGCTCTTTCATATGCATGCTTTTAACGATAGCTCTCCTAGAGCAGATTACGCGAAGTTGTCGGAAAGGGTAGTAGATTATGCCGGCGCATTCCATTAGCTCTAGAAATTTTGGGTTCGTTATTCTTCCCATGTAAGAGCAAAGAAGAGTGGGAAGATTTATTGAAGAAACTGAAAAAATATCCCAACAAAGACATTCAAAATGCGTTCAAAGTAAGCTATGACAGACTAGAAGAAAATGAGCAGGAAATATTTCTTGATATAGCATGCTGTTATAAAGGGGAGGGTAAGGAACGTGTAAAAAGAATGTTACGTATTCGTGGTTTCTTTGACGCAGCTGGAATTAGAGTTCACATTGATAGGTTTCTCATATCAATTGATTCAGCATGGAAAACCATAGAGATGCATGATATTATACAAGAGATTGGTTGGTCAATTGTTCGGGAAGAATGTAAAGAAGAGCCCGGAAGACTCAAAAGGTTGTTTGTTGCCGAGGATGTCTACCATGCATTGAAAAACAACACAGTAAGAAAACCCTCATTTGTATGATAAACAAGTCAGATTCGTATACATGCAGTTTGATTAAATTTTGTTGTATATTAGATTCACATGTATACTTTGCTCTTAATTGTTTGGGAACTGCAATGGTTGAAGGCATATTCTTTAACAGGTCTAAGATTGAAAAGCTAGACTTGAATTGCGCAGACTTTACATAGATGTCTAAGCTATTATTGTTATGTGTGGATAATTATAAATATGTCAACTACAGCGACTTAAACGCTTCTCTAGATCTTCCCAATTCTCTTCGTTATCTTTTCTGGCGTAGATATCCTTTTCAATCCTTGCCCTCAACATTTTCTCCAGTGAATCCTATTGAGCTTCATATGCCTGAAACTGAAAGCCATGTCAATCAACTTTGGAGCGAAGACCAGGTATATATCTATGCTTAGTTTAGTTCACTTAAAAAGCGATTCTGCCCAAGTTATTAATTCCTTCCTTTCTCTTCAATTTGTGACAGAATTTGGTGAACTTAAAGTGATCAATCTTAGTTACTCCAAACATCTAATTACAGTTCCAAATCTGTCTTGAAGTCTGAAAATTGAGCATATAGATCTTCGTGGTCGTCACAGTTTGGTTGAAATTCCTTTGTATTTTCAATATTTTGACAAGCTTACTTATCTTAATCTTGGATGGTAAACAAAGCTCATATCTCTTCCGGAGATACCTAGCAACATTGAAGTCTTACA